GCCTTTCACCCCGGGATGAACTCTCCCCGGGAAGCGAAAAGGGGGCGAACTGAGAATCACAGCATGGAAAATATTACTGATTGCTTTATTGGCGTGTCCGTTGAGTAGACCTCTTTGCCGTTTGGATCCTGTTTAAACAGGCAAATGTGTCTGATGGAGGAACCATTCAGGAAATCTGGTTGGACAACTACACTCCAGGGGCTTGCCTCCGTGGGACTAGATGCTTAGGTGGGGCCTTTCAGAAACAAATGGGCACCATTGTTTCAGTTTTATTGTGGCTTATTTACAATATCAGCCTCCAGCAGCTGCTCAGTCCAGCTAAGAATTCCATCTTCTCAAAGTAACAGCAGCTCTACAGTGACCTGGCTTGGAAATCTGCACCCTCTGCTTTCTGAGAAAGGGTGCAGATTTGACTTTTAACACAAAGGCACTTAAGCAACCCTTTTCCATCAGGTTGTATCTGCACTTTCCCATCAAAAGGCAACAAAACCGTTTTTATTACCCATCCTTTTAAGAATTACAAATTTTAATTAGTTTTAACATCCATTTTTTGTTTTTGCCTTTGTTTCTGATTTTGATTTGGACTTTGCTGAGATTATGTTTTTGCTGTTTACAGGGGTTATTTGTTGTTGTTATTAATTGACATAAATACAGAAAAATGATCAGGAGGCTGCAGCAGCTCCTCTGTGAGGACAGGCAACAACAACGGAATTGTTCAGTTTAGGGGGCAAAAAACAAGTACAGGGAGACATGATAGAGGTACTTAAAATAAGGCCTGTAATGGGAGAGGGAGACATTTTGCCCCTTTCCCCAAGGGGGTCATCGTGTGAAGCTTATTGGGAGGAAGTTTAGGAGAGATGAAGGGAAGTCCTTCATCGCAGAGAGTTCAGTTAAACTATGGACTCCGCTGCCACAGGAAGTGGCGATGGCTGCCCATCTGAATGGGTCCCAAAGGGGACTGGACAGATGCATGAGGGAGGAGGCTCTCCGTGGCTACTAGCCCTGCTGGCCATAGGCTCCCTCCTTCCCCAGAGGCGGCCTGCCTGCACACGCCCGTTGCTGAGGATCTTGGGCAGGCGGAGGTCTTCCACCCTCCTGCTTGGGGGATCCTGTGGGCAGCTGGTTTGCCTCCGTGTGCCTGGAGTGCTGGACGAGATGGACCCTTGGCCTGATCCAGTAGGGCTTTTACAGGTAAGGCAACCAGAAGTGAACACAATATTCCAAGTGTGGTCACACCAAAGATTTATATAAGGGGAGTAAGTTCTTGGCAGCTTTATATCCTATCCCATTCCTAATTATGCCTAGCATGGAGTTTGCCTTTTCCACAGCAGCCATGCACAGGGTGTTGGGACAATTCAGCTAAATCCTGGCAGAGAAGGGATGCTGATGTGTCTTTGTGTTATAAACCTTTTTACACCCCTTTTTCAAACAATACCGTCAAGAAAAAGGTGTAGAAGACCGCAGAGGAAGCCCCTGTGGCTCCACAAAAGTTTAAGTGACAGCCTGAAAATATAAAAGAACATGTACAGGAAGTGTAAGCAGAGCCGGGCAAGAAAAGAATATAAACAAGTAGCAAGGAATTGCAGGAATAGCATCAGGAAGGCTAAAGCAGGAAATGAACTGAGAATAGCAAGCGGTGCTAAGCACAACAATAAAGCCTTCTTCAGATACATCCAGAACAAAAGACATGAGAAAGAGAAGGGTGTCCAGCTACTTAAAGTGGGTGGCAGAGTGATAGCAGACAACAAAGAAAAGTCAGAGGCATTGAATTCCTACTCGCCTCAGTCTTCTCCCACCAGGAAATCTGCAATCAAGAAGAAGTTCAAGCAGGAAGTGAGAGATGGCAGCCCAGGATTGACAGACAAATGGTTGAGGAAAACTTTCAAATCTCCAGGGCCTGATGAACTCCATCCCAGAGTGATAAAAGAGCTAGTGGAGGAACTTTCAGAACCACTGGCTATTATTTTCGATGAATCTTGGAAACCAGGTGAAGTGCCAGACGACTGGAGAAGGGCTAATGCTGTCCCCACCTTCAACAAGGGGGAAAAAGATGAACCTGGGAACTATAGATCAGTTAGTCTGACATCAATCCCTGGAAAAATTCTAGAAAAAATATTTTAAAATCCATCTGCAAGCATCTTGAAGAAAATGCAGTGGTTAACAGAAGCCAACTTGGATTTATCAAAAATAAATCCTGTCAGACTAATTTAATTGTTGCGTCCCACGGTTTTACAGATGAGACCAGAGACCAGTTGGTATTATTTAAGAGGAGTTTATTACCTGCGCAGGGACCAACACTCTGGTAGGAGTGCGGTCCTCAGCAGAAGTAGCTCTGGGTTTTTAGACCCTGTTACATACATCAAGTGGAAAGGTTACTGGCACATGCGCAGCTTTTGACCGAGTGGACACACCCGGGCGGAAAACCTCAAGCGTGGCTAAGCAAGCACGATACAGAAGCAGGACAGTTTGCGGTTATGCTAGAGCACGCTATGTTTTCTTTGCGATTAGCTGGGGCATGCAAGAGGCACGCCTTGTGTATGCCTGGCTCCTGTAATAGCACACCACCCACACCCCCTGGGGCATGCAAGAGGCACGCCTTGTGTATGCCTGGGTGTGTGATTTAACTTTTGCTATCTGGGGCAAGCCTAACATTCCCTACTGGTCTTTCATGGGAATCGAATCATTGATTCTGAGGCAGGGAGAGGGCGGTAGCCATCGAACCCTAATTGTGCCCTGGCATGGAGCGTCAGGTGTTTGACCGCCTCGACGCATTTTTGAATGAATCGAGTTAGCCAACGGAGCAGGATAGGGCCAAAAATAAGGCAGAAAAGCAATCCCAGAAGAGGGCCGACCAAGGAGGAGAGCAAGCTAGTCAACCAGGGGGACCAGTTAAACAGCCGTTGGTACCAATTGGAATTCTCCATTCGGCGCCTTTCTCGATCCTCTAGCCTTGTTCTGATAACGTCTAAACTATTTCGCACAACCCCCAAGTGGTTCGCATAAAAGCAGCATTTTTCGTCTAGAGCAGCACATAATCCTCCTTGTTTAAGCAAGAGTAAGTCCAGGCCCCTTCTGTTCTGGAGGGCTACCTCGGCAAGGGAATTGAGGGACTGCTCTAAAAACTTGATGGAGCCATGGAGCTCCTGCAAGT